TTACCTCCTCCGCAAGACAAATGACACGAGCTAACTAGAACACTGTGATGCTTTGTTACCTGCTGGTAGTACGGTTCGTACTCGGACGTCGTACGGTACGGCACAMACCCGTCTCAAACACTGACGAGGACGGGACGAACAAGGAGGCAGGGGTCATGATGAAAGGAGGAAGGCTCTCTCCCACTGGCTACTAGTACGTTACGTAGTGCTCGTGTGGGAGTTTTGCCCTAGTACTACTGCTTCTTTTCTTCTTTGGAATGCGACCGGCAATCACGTTCCACTCCATACTTTCTTAGSCAGAAGCTTCGTGCGTGACCTTGATTCCAAAGTACATTCAACCTAGTACTGCTGGTGCTAGTGGTGCTAGTCATTGAAGTTCCTTTCCAGCATGTCATTCCATTTATGGAATGCGGTTCACACTCACATTCCACTCCATAACACTGCATAGTTTCCAATCTAGTAGACGGTGTTTGTGCGACCCTTACATACTAGTAGAAGCATTGAGACCACAACAGAATTCAATCGAGCTTTCAAACAAGTCGACTACTAGTAGACCACAAAAATTTCGAGAAATTGAATGCCAAGTCAGTTGATTTTACCTGACCGATACTATTTTGACAGCTTTTATAGGAATGACTAGTAGGATAGGAGTCACCGACCATTACGAGTAACACTATGGTATCGAAGTACGGTACGGTGCGATACTGTACGTACCGTACAGTAAAAACATTCCGGCCATTTCGATTATTTTTGTTCGAGTCTGATTCGACGACGATCGCCGTTTGCCCTGATGTACCGTAGGCTCCGTACCGAATTGTACATACTGGTTTTACCCGTTCTCGTACCGTCGGAGATGCGGTAGGTACGATAATTCCTTCTATTTTTATCTGATGGCACATGGCACCAACCCTATTTTCTTCACTACAACAATTCCGCAGCAGAGGAGGTGCAGCAAACCCGTCCTCGTTTCACTCACACTTTCCAGCAGTCGAGGACGACATTCGTCTCCTTCCTCGGAATTCTGGCCGAMCCAAGGCCCCGAGAAACAAAATTGGCAGGGGAGCATCTCGCTCACAAACAGCCAGCTCCGTCCAACCCACAAGATATTTTTGGCTCAATACACGGCGTGCTGCGTAAAACGCAAACGCCARCTACTGGCACAAGCAGAGCCAATCGAAACGAGACGCGAGGCGCCAGAGCGCAGCAAACGTTCGTTGCGACCGAACGACGCGAGGCAACGAAGCTCGGCATCATGTGCAGCAGAGTTCTCTCTACGACYAAGGTYTGGGGCTRTCCCTCCACGGCACTCGGTGGCGACTCGGCTCGAAGCATCGCCGACAGCCACAAAGACAGAGCGTCGTCGTCRTCATCGTCACGTCGCCCACCACCCCTGAAGACCCTGCGCTTGTCGAATGCGATGCACCCGCAGTACATCTCCTTTCAGGTTTTGCTGGCCATCAAATGTTCCTCCTACAACGCCTTGGCTTGCCAGGGTTTGGACCTGACACTACTCGACGAAAACAGCGAAAGCCACGCAAACGAGGAAACAAAAGCGGAGGCTGTGGCCACGAACGAAATTGCAYCGGCCGCATCCTTTTTGCAGCACCTACGGGTGCTGATCTATTCCCGAAACTGGCTGCGGATCGAATTCGATCAGTGCAAGGGCATCGAATCCTTGTTCAGCGACTCGTCCGAGYCAAAGATGGATCTTGGTCTGAACACCACGAAGGTCGGCTTTCTGGTACTCAAGTTTCCGCGGTCGAACCGTGCCGCGGGCAACAAACACAAACGCTGCACGTACGACGCAAGCCACCACACAAACTTCTTCACAAATCTGTGGAACCACTGGAGGGTTCAAAAACTGAATCTTTCGATGGATTTCAMCCCCGCCTGGACAAAAGAATTTTGCCGGAGCCGTTATCACCAAAACACACACAACGACGACAMGAGCGACAACGCCAATGGCGTTGCGAATGGGGAAAMGGAAGAGGCTTATCTTGGCTTGGAAGAACTCGAGCTCTATCCCGCTTGTACCTGGCACCGTCGAATTCCAAAGTCGACGAAATCCAACGACGGGGAGCAACGCGACCCTTCCATAGAGAACGGTTGCAGCTCCTCGGTGCAAGTCGCCGATGACGCCCCGGAGGGATCTTGCGGTGGCAGCGGTGCCGCCGCCGTCAAAACCAGCAACGACGAAGACGACGACGAAACCATGGACTGCTGGGAATACTTTTGCCGCCAGCTTCCGCTCCACCACCCGAGGCTCGGGTCTCTGTCGGTTCAGTGCAAAACCTCCGACGCCGACATGGCCTACCTGATCCGGCACTGCGTTTCGTCTCCKTTGTTTGTGGCCCTGCACACGCTGCGCTTCGGGAACATGTGTTCCTGCGACGAGCAAAGCCTGGCGGCACTGGCCGGTGCTCTGGCCAAGCAGGCAGGGACAACCGCATCGGCGCCGGCGTCCGCAACACCCAGCAATCCCGGGGCCCGGCCCCGCTTGCCGCAGCGATTGGAGATCCTGTCCATGTCCCGTGGCAGGAAACTCCYCTCCCCGTCCGCCGCCGGCCTCCTGGCCGGCGGCCAGCAGCAGCGGGGCCGGGTTTTGGAYGTCTGCCGGGCCCTGGCGGCCGCTTCGGTGCTCAAGCACCTCGARCTCTCCGACTATTTCCTGGACCGGACCGACCTGGAGGCCCTCTTTGGATCCCTCGTCGACAGCGGGGGAGCCATACAGCGCCTCTCCCTGCTATCCTGCGGCGTCGCCTGCAGAGGCGACTACAAACCGGTCAAGGAATGCCTGGTCCGGAACGAGCTGCCCTTCCTCAAGGTCCTCCTCCTGCCCGAGGCGGCCTCGGGAATCCTGGGCGAGGCCCTGCGGTTCAACACATCGGTCGAAAACGTCAACTACTCCAGGGGCGGCAGCCCCACCCTCCGGTACTTTTTGGACCTGAACCGGGGCGGGAGGCGGATTCTGACCACCGCGAGCACCACCACCTTCCACGCGGATGCAGCGGCGGGGGACCGCGGCCACCACTGCCACGAGGACCAGCGGCAGCCTCCCGGGGGACTGGCAACCCGAACGACCCTGCCCGCGGTCTCGCCGGCGCTGTATCCACGGATCCTGGACCGGGCGTCGCACATGACGAAACACGGATACCTCGGGGGCGACCAACGAAAGTACGACGTAGTGTACTATATGCTGCGGAATCGAATCTTGTTGGAGATGTAACCGTATCTGATAAATAACAGTCCATTGTCCTAGCTAGCAAAGAAACTCAATTCATGGGACAAGTAGTGTACAGCATAGCATAGCATAGCATAGCACGACATGTTTTGCTTTGTGATACAAAAGATATCGTTTTAATTTCTTTCCTCTCTAGATAATCCCTGGGATGAACCGGTAGGGCACCAGCCGCTTGTACTCGTTCCAGTCGTCGCCGTACTTTTCCGAGCACAGCTCGTCGTCCCGGATCGATCGGTGGACCAAAAGGATCAAGAAGTAAACCGCGTAGTAATAGGGAACGATCGAGTCAAAACCACACAGCAAGCTATAGGAGAGACCCATCATGTAGTCCCCCGTGTAGTTGATCTTGCGGGCGAGGCCCCACCAGCCGCTGGTCAGGAGGCGGGTCCCCCTTTTCGTGGGCAGGTAGGTCAGGTGCGCCACCCGCTGGTCGCTTGGGTCGTTCCGGAAAATGTCCTTCTGGCGGTTCGAGAGCCGAAAGACGGCAAAGCCCAGAACGTAAAGGCCCAGGATGCACGCCAGCACGGGATTCGAGAGCCGCGGATCGTGGTAGACCAAGWACTTGGCCGGGTGGTTGTACGTAAAGGGGACCCACGCCAGGTCGCCGAATACCAGCATRAATCCAAAGCCGTCCGTGGTGATGTCCATGGTGGTCAGAATGCACTTTTCCATAAACATCGAGTCCCAGACATAGATAGCGTGAAATACGTTGAGCAAGACCATGCTGCCGGAGACGCTCCCCGTCAYTTTGTATTGTTCCTGGGCRCAGGCAATGTTCAGCAACACCCACAAAATGAGGCCCGGGCGGAGCTCGCAGAACTCCTTCCAGTCAAAGGTTCCACCGAGGGATCGCGGATTSAGTTCCCGGCCCATGAAAAAGTCATAGACCGCGTTTCCCGATCGACCCGTGTGCGACAAAATCTTGTTCCTGCCCGTGAGCGGATCCTTTTGAAAGCTTCCCCGGTAGAGCCAGGCCGAGAGGCCGAAGCACAAGAGAATATCGACAAAGGCCAGTCGTTCGTAGTGTCTGTAGAGGTAATCATTGAGGGGAAATCCCGTGGCCACAAGCAGAATCATGACGGTCCAAAAGGTTGCGTGGCCGTTCATTTTATACTTGAGGCGGAGCGGAGCCTTATCCTTCGAGGCTGCCGAGTGATCGGCCTCGGGATCGATCACCGGGGCTCCCTCGACCCATTTCCCAGGAAGAATCTTCCACAAGAGCACAAGTCCGAGGAACCACCCCAGTAGTCCCAGTGTGCACTTTGCCAGGAGTTCCATCGCATCTTCTCCTSCGAATATCAAGTCGCGGTGTCCCCTGAAKATCGCAGCAAAGTCGAGGTCGAGGCAACCAAATCTGGCCCAGTGMGCTAGGATCAGGACCAAAAGCGGAAGGGCGACAACGGTGCCAAAGGCTCCGATTGGACCACCGAATTCTGTGGGCGGGCAGCCGCTGTGTTTCGACGACATGCTGGGGCTCTGGTGCGGGTAGAGAATATTGTGTATTGCAGTCTTCTCTTATCAGATAGGACAAAAACACGAAAGTGATGATGGTACGGATCGTGTTCAATACAGTACGTAGGGTACCGTACGGTATCGTAGATTGTTTTGCATTACAGTATTTACGAAGTTACCGATTTCAAATACGGAAGTAGGTAGCAATGACCAATACTGTACCGAGCCGTCCTGTACAGTAATTTCCCCTCAAGTGGTAACTTCGACCCTTTCCGGCTTGTTCCCCCTCTTTCTCTATTTCTCTATTTTTCCTATGTATGTATGGTATGATACTAATATAGACTGTACCCTACATTACAGTAGATAGAATAGACCCACGAAACTTCCCTACCTTTCGTACGTACGAGTACGTAAAAGAACTAGCACATTATGTCCGCAGGACCAATGACTGCAACGTAGAAGTAAAGGACACACGAGTACGTACGTACGTACCTACCGTTAGGAACGAATCTGCTCGTTCGTAAAGTAACTCGTACAGTATGGTACGGTACGAACATGATGAGCTAAAAAGATTCGCACACTATTATTGTTGTTCCATGTCCTAGTCCCATCCCATTCKGAGGATAGGTAGTGCAGTAGATGAATTCGTTCTCAGGCTCGCGGATTCAAAAGAGTTCGGACTACAACATCAAACCAAACAAAATGGGAGTCAAGTACAAAGTACGTTCTATGAAACACGAAGTAGTGTAAAAGATGCACATGCATRTCCTCATCGGAAAAAAAATAAAGTAGCGGGCTAATTATTAGTAATATTCAACCTAGAACACAATTTCGGATTCCACACGTAATACCGGATTGAATTTCCACGTAATACTGGATTGAATTTCCTTGCCACTGGCATGGAGAGAAGTTTTTTTCACTGCGCTCGTCACGATTTAGCGCTTCTTGGAGGCCTCAAAGATGGTGGCGATCGACTTGTCGAGGCATTCGTCCCATTCGGCATCGGTCATCTTGTTGTTGAGKCCCTCGGCAAGAGCTCGAGAGAAGGAGGCAATCATGCCGTCTTGCTTGGTAAGAATTTCGTTGGCCTCGTCCCGGGAGTATCCTCCCGAAAGGGCGACGACGCGGAYGCAGTTGGGGTGRTCGACGAGGTCCTTGTAGAGGTTGACCTCGGTGGGGAGGGAAAGCTTGATCATGACGGCCTTGCCCTCGGTGATCTTCGAGTTGAACCCCTCAACAAGCTTGGCCTTGAGGACGGCTTCGATCTTGGCCTTATCGGGGCTGGTGATGTCAACTTCCGGTTCCAAAATGGGAATCAATCCGTGGGAAAGAATCTGGTTTCCAATTTCGAACTGCTGGTCAACAATAGCCTGGATTCCATCCTCGTTYAATTCCTTGATGACGGATCGCATCTTGGTTCCAAAGACACCCTTGGCCTTGGCACGCGAGAGAAGAGCGTCGAGCTCGGGCATGGGCTTCATGAGCTGGACGCCGTTSTCGAGAGGGGCCAATCCCTTGTCGCACTTCAAAAAGGGAATGACCTGCTTCTTCTCCCACAGGTAGGTGGGAGTTTCGATGCCCTCGATTTCGCGGTCCATCGTGTTCTCGAAGAGAATGGCACCGAGGGTGCGGTCGCCAGAGAAGCTGGGGGAGGTGATGATTCGCGTTCGGATCTTGTGGATGACGTCGAACATAGATTCCTCGCCGAGTACATACTCATCCTCTTCGATTCCGAAGGATTTCAAGGCCTTGGGGGTGGATCCACCCGATTGATCCAGGGCAGCAAGGTAGCCATCGAAGCTCTTGGCACGTTCCAATTGTTCGTCAAAAGTAGTGGACATGTTTGCAGTTTCTTTTAGTTTATTCTATTTTCTATTTTTGCAGAATTTTTTTGTGGCAATGTCTCTCGTGGAACCGAATGTCTTTTTCTTGTCGATGATTCGGATATTTCCGTCGGAGGCCTTTGTTTGATTCAGATTTTCCGCGTGACGGCATCTCTGAACTCTGAATTAGCAAATAGGATTGCTTTGCTTACCGGTCCCAACGGATGTCCCTATTCTGGCTGGTAATGACTGTGAATCATTGGACTCTTCATCAGATGGGAACTCGGGAACTCTGTGATGTGTTACGGTTTCCTTACGTATATACGCACTTCGTAAGCAGTATCTAATGTGAAAAAGTACGTACGTGCGTTCGTGGATATCACGTGATCTTCACGATTCGAAAGAGCCTCTTGGCATCGGATAAGGCCTTTTACCGGAATCAGACGTGCATTCTTCAGACGTGCTTCAGACGAGGATCCCTCGTGCCGAAAAACCAGGGCCCTCCGGAACCCACGCGGCGCATCCCCCCTTTTTGAATTMCTCCCCTAGAAAAACGTTGGTTATTTTGGTGAAAAAAAAACAAGTTTTAGAATTGTGGGTCATGTCATGGGAAAAGTAAACCATGTTTGTAAAATATGGGTTATTTTATTGGAAAAATAACCCACAAATAACCCAGAGTTTTAGTGTCATTCTTTAAGTTAGAGGAGAACCAATGACGTTAGTAAGTATTTTAGTCATAGAAATGTTAATTAGTAATCAACAATGTTTTTGGTCCAGCAGATTTGTGGGTTATTCATGGGTTATTTTGTGGGTTGTTTGAGGGTTAACCCAGGAACATCACAAAAAGTGTTTGCAGGGTTTGGTTGCAACCCCATGCRTGTAGTTTTTGTGCAACCACTCAACACGGTGAAGTTATGATTATCAAGCTTACTGACGACCCCCTTTTTGTGATTATTTTTGCGACACAATGTGTTTCACTCTGCGCACCAAATTTATTTTACTGGTATTTCAACCCATACTTGCTCAACCTCCACTCCATATTTTTACTCTGGGGGGTTGTGATACATAACCTCAACTGTTACGATGACAGTGACCTCCAACCACAACTCTTGGATTGAAAAAGCATGATTTACACATGTAAATACAAGGAATGGTCTTCCCTGCCCAAGTCCCTCTTCACCATGCCAAGGTAAAATATTTGTTGTACACTACTTTCTGATCCATCCCTGGACAGAATTGTAGTTGACAAGAACACATTGCTGCTGTGCTGAATAATCTGCCAGCAGGCAAGYAAGAGATTTGACTTTGCATTGCTGAAGAAACACTGAACTTTGAGCATCAATCCAAACAAGAACTATTCCACAGTATTTGGGATAGTATGATATGACAGGCATAGATGTACTGATGCAAGCGTTGTTTTTTGTTGGAGTCTTTTGCAGAAATAGAAAATCGTTACTGGTCACGAAAGTGTGACAGCTATTTGAAATCATGTTCACCTACTAGCTTTGTATGTATTATCATTGAATCACCACAGCTTGCAATGCCTTTGTGACGGAAGCGAAYAGTTGTCTTTGTTTCACAGTAACCATGAATATGAAAAACACCACATATTTGTTGCTATTAATGCTATTAAATTTGAATGCGTTCGAAGATCATTTCGTTTCAATTTTGATTGGGATATGAATTAATTGATTGTTCGAGTGTAGCCTCCTCATCAAACCAGAGTGGTTCGGTTGCCGGCCAACCTCCATTCTGTCCTGTATAAAGCATGCCAATGACAAACCCCGTGTAGCTAATCAGGGCGAAAACCAAACAAATGAAATCCAGTTTTCGAATGGAAAATTTGAACAAAATGAAGGAACAGCATTTCTCCGAAACTTCCTTGACGGCGCAATCGTCTTTCTCTTCTACCCGAATGCCATTCAATGAATTGYCTTTCCAACTTTCTTCTGATTTCACAATCTTCGATGACGAATCCTTCCTTGCATCTTGGAACTCTTCCTGCTGGCTCTCGTTTTCGATTTTGTTCAAAAGACCTTCTTCTTCTTCTTCTCCTTCTGTTATTTCCAGGGCTGCTCGTTGCATCATGGATGCGCGCTGTCCTGGGGTCATCGCTTCAAGCACCTTTCTTTCTTTTCTAGCTTGCCGGTCTTCGCGAAGATAAAACAAGAATCCCATGCAARCACTTTGGATAACGCCAAATAGAACCCAATAAAAAGAATAAGCCACAAATCTGTCCAGCCACAAGTGCTGGTCTGAAATCGGAGTCATTCCACTGGTAACAATCTGTTGAGCCACGACGACCAATGCAAGAGCCATTCCAAATCCCAATCGCTCGCCGACGCGCAAATCCAATAAGAATGTAAAGAAGCTGAGGTATGTCAAAATGACGGTTGGTACCTATACCGTAAATTAGRTCGTCGATCGAGCGATTCGTTCAGTAATAACAGCATGGAACAAATCGTTTCAGTTGAGTGGCAAGTTCGCAAACACAAGTTGGTGAGTGGTAGTRGAGTACACCGCGWAGTAATATTGGAWTCCGAAACAACACYGGAGGGGATTTTTGGTAAGTGGCTGACTACCAAACCCACGCAAAATGCGATACGCACCACGATGTTTTGTATGTAATGCAAGGTTGCTCTTCTATACCAAAAATTGTATACAATAACTCCGTCATCAAATGAATATCCTTGTTTGGCCTTTTCAGGAACCGGTTGCCATTCATTATACGTGACTAGAAACGAAMAAGGAAGTGTTTTGAACAAAAGGAAAATCAGTTTGTTTCGMCTGGTGCGAGTCTTGGAGTCATCTATCGGAAAGACCTATACAAATGCGATCCATTCTTACCCTCGAAAGCACCATAATACACGAACTCCGGTACCTCAATGACGTAATTTACTGCACTAGATCCCAYTCGCGTTTGGGACCCGAACAKAAGTTGGCAGCCAAGCGTATCAAACGGAATGTTCGCCAACCCTCTAAATGCACAGAATACTTCCACCCCACCCATTAAATACCAGTGGACTGTCCCATCACTAAAGATACTTGCTTTTGAATCTGTCATTGTTTGGACACCTTCAATTCTGTTTAAGACATCTAGATTGGGAACCTGAAAATTTCAACAGAGAAATCAAACGTCACAGATGAGTGACTTGAAGGCATTTGAAGCGCTTTTTTCAAAATAAAATGCGGAAAAATCAATCATGGCTTATGGAAATAGCAGTACGTACCCATATCTGAGATGTCTCTATATCGTGGCCTGTCGAAAGTAAAATGTTTATATTGTATCATAAAGATCGCGACAGCATCGATGAGTGGTGGAGAGGAAGCGGAACCAGTCGGTGGAATTTGCTTTGTTACATTATGGCTTGATGGCCTATACTCAAAAAAATAATGTTTTCATACATACCTGTGTAGACATCAATGACGTTTGTGCAAGTATTGTTATCTTCGATGTCCCATTTCAACCTAGAATCCATCCATTTTAGTGTCAGCGACAAGAAAATAGTCGCAGTGCCTTGTTCTACCTTGAGATCCTCTAATTGCTCGTGCTGAAGATAAACACTGACGTTCAGCGGGTTGTCATAATCCATGATGGGAGGAACCGCTGGATTATAGTTGTTGGTTTTGAGGTCGCCCAAAATAAGGTCGTGGACGTTTTGTTCGCATTCGTACACCGGAATCGATGCTCTGCAGCATTGTTCGAAAAAGATACCAAATAAAAAATCCGCACGGCATGTACCGGGGTTGTTGTTGGTTGCGTTCTCTCCATTTCCCGCAAAGCCCGCGTGTCCCAAATTTTTAAACTCGGGCTGCCGAAAATAAAAATCCATTTCGGCGCACGTTKCGTTCTCCTGCGGGATCTTGTCGGCCAACAGGGTCAGTCCCTGGCAGAGTGAGCACGCATAATTGTCATCGTCGTCGCGTTCTTGAGTTTCACGTCTGCTCTGYGGGGAAAACGGCAGCTTGACCTCTTTCGCGCTTGGCTCTTCTACTCGGAGCGACTTCCCTTCGGTCGCCATTGCGATCAAGAGAAAGAGGAAGAAACGCATCAGTTTTCTAGGAAAACTGTCGCGTCTTATAGGAGTACAATTCGTCATGGTGGAATTCTTCAAAAGATTCGATTGTGAAGAAATGCAGAATATCTTGTAATCGGATTTGACGTGTTCGCTTTGCGATGTAACRCTGTARAGTTGTTTTCCTTCCGTGTCGTCAAAAATTGGACGTGTATGCTACAGAATCCGCATGCATTGCACCCATAACAGTAACGTCGTTTGAAAATTATCTGTACGAAGTAGTACTTGTGACACGGTACTCGTATTTCGACAAGAATAAGTAAGCGCGTTTAGTACTTCTACCCGGTATTTTTGAGGCCTTWGTCAACAAGATAATAAATCCTACAGGATTCTAAATTCTAACTTCTTCCTCTCGATTAATGATGATTGACGGACCAGTACTTTTATTATGGCTGAATGTTGAAGTTGATATTTTTGGCGCCAAAAGGAGYKTCATTTTTTATTAAATACGTAACCGCAACGGTTTTCTATTTTTTAAGACATGCAGTGAATGATGGTGCGTACTCARCGCATGGTGGTTGATAGCATGCGTTGTTGCTGTAATGTAGCGTAGATGAGAGMGATCGCGTGTACTGGAATAGTTAAAACTGTTGGTGTTTTTATCCGGTGGATTGCATACCGTACGGTACATGACTAAAACCTCTTTTTAACAATCCAAGACTTGTTTATTTCGGAACGAATTTGAATCCAGTGTGAATCATCATCGGGTTTGACTACGGTACCGGACGTACCGGTACCGCATGTACGTACTTGTATTGTAAAGTAGGACATTACGCTGGCAGGACGTTGGTGCAATAGAAGATGATTAGTACACTACGTGGGTAGGTACGTACGTACGTACAAAGTACTAGTTACCATCCGTTTCGTACGGTACTGTTTTTTAGTTTTTGACGACTCAGTCGTCATCGATCGTACCGTATCGTAATTTCAAAATTGCAACGCGTTGAATTGAATCTGGATTCGTGACCAACACGTCTCGTCGACAATATTTGCTGCGAAAGATACGGCACTGAGATATAATCAATGAACGACCGGGCATCCATTTTCCCGGAATCGATATACCGAAGCCGGATACAAGATAGGATAGGAATATAGAAGCAGGAATCCCAACGTTTGCCACTAGAGCAGCAAGAGAAATCCATCCAATATAATGAGTCTAGAGGTACTGAATTCTCCACCTCTGGTCGGTGCTCTCACCGCCGGATGCTATGGGCTTCTGTGTGCGGCAAAGAATCCGTTGGTTCTCAATAGCGCCTCCGTTCCCTTTGTCGCTCTAAAGGGAATAAATGCTTTCTCATACGGGCTTTCTATGTACAGTGTGTCCCAGCCCGGTAGATACGACGGTGCTGCCTCCGTAAATGGTGAAGAAGGCGACAGCAAGTCAAAAGCGAGCAGCAGAGACAAAGATGCCGCACAAAAAGGAATGGAACAAATGGGAACCTCGAGGGGCCGAACCCTTGTGCCGCCGGCACCATGGGCATTTATCATCTGGGCACCCATCTTTCTGGGTGAGCTATTGATGGTGACTGTTCCATTCCTTGCACCAGGTTCTGTGTCTCCCGTGGTAGAGCGGGCACTTCGAGAGATAGCTGGCCCGTATCTTTTGACACAAATCTTTCAGAGCCTGTGGGCGGCCTCCTTTAGGCCCAAGTACGAAAAGGGGATCTACAGGTACATCTCGGTAGCAAACCTGGCCGGGACTGCGGCATCGCTCTCCGTCTGTCACAGAGCATTTGCCAGCAGCATCCACCAGCATGCATCGAGGTCTTATTCGGCTTTCGAATACGCTCTCTACTTTTTKCCGCTGTCKCTTCACTTTGGATGGACGACCGCCGCTTCCCTCGTAAATCTCAACGGGATGTTCGCGATGGCGACAGACGACAACAGSAAGAACGCGACCGCCCGCGCYGTTGCGTTGCTGGGACATGTTTCCGTCGCGTTAGCAACMGGAGTAGGTGTAGGGATCACCTGGACTCGAAAGGCTCCTGTTTATGGAGGGGTGATTTGCTGGGCATTGACAGCTGTAGCAGCGGGCCTAAAACAGCGAATTCTCGCAAGCGCTTCTAACAGCAAAAAGAACGATCAAAAAATTGCCAACGATGATAAAACTGTGGGTATCTACGGYGCCGAAAGACAGCGCACCCTTAGTCTATTCGGCGCAGCCATATGCGCTTCCACATCAGCCGCCGTGATGCTTCTTTAATGTCCATTCACCACAAAGTAATATAAATGGACTTGCTGTGCCTTTGAWTTACTCCCGAATATTTTCAATTATTGCTAAGTTATTCAACTCAAACAGCATCATTATTTGTAGACTCGAAGCCACCATGTGAAGGCAGGAATGGCAAATACAGCCAGTCGTGTCGCATTGTATTACTCCCAGCCTTTAGCAACAGAAATTACATCAATACATACATAATTTGATTAAGTACTAATTACATGATATTACAGTGGCTTCTATGTATCCATCACCGAATCTCTTACGGTTGCCATCATAAAAATCTGCTGTACATTTGAGTCTTCCGTACTTTCAGATCTAAACTTGGGGACTCCACTTTAATCTCAATCACCGCATCGGTTAACCGTGATCCGTGATCCGTGATCAGTGGCCAGTGGCATCGATAATTCAAATACGTACTGGACGTACGGCTCGTACGAACCTAATTTTTTCATGAGCAAAATTCAAAATTGGAATTTAAAAAAAATTCAAATCTATTCTATTCTGACAACCGAAGGTCGTAACCCGCACATGTCACGTAACGTTCTCGTACAGGTACGAGTACGAACCGAATTTCATTTCGTGAAGAGTACGAGTAGAGTACCGGTACGTACCGTACCGTATGGCATGGCTCAGTCCGAAAGCAAGAGTTGCAGTTCATTACAGTACAACACTCGTATCTGTTTCCTCATTGTATGACTACCAGGTACTTCGCACTCGACAGCGATAGAATATATATACCAGCAATGTAAATGATCACAAAAATCAGAATGCTACGAACGATCATTAAGTGCAGTTTTGTCGAATCTGATGGGAAACAAAGCAGAATCAAGTGATAGCAAATATGAGTGATAGCGAAGGCGTTTCGGGAGTTTCATCTGCTACCTCGTCGCTTGGTAGGAACACTGCCCCTATCTCTCCTCGTGAAGCGCACGGTGCTATCGACATGCCCCCTTTGATCCATTCGTCCGAAGCGATAGAAATGAGTACTAGATCATCAGAAGAGCAAAATACAGAAGAGGCAAAATCACCGGCACAACCAGTCCTCCCTGACCCATCTCCAGAGCAACAAAAAGTCATCGCAGCCATCAAAGAAGGAAAATGTGTCACAGTCAGGGCCTGTGCAGGATCAGGAAAAACGACATGTATGTTGCAGGTTGCGTCTAGTCTACCTTCAACCCGGAAGGTGCTTATAATTACCTACAATCGCTCGCTTGCCGACGATTGCAAGGCTCGGATCCAAAAACTTTCGCTGGGTCACAGGGTAAGCTGCTACACGATTCATGGACTAGCTAGCCGTGTTGCGGGAAAAGTCTGTAACGACGACCATAAATTGATCGAATTACTGAATCAATGGGACAACARTCCACGATCGGTTATGTCGCACCCCGTGCCATTGGATATGGTAATGCTCGATGAAGCACAAGACCTGAGGCCACTCTTCTACAAGGTTCTATCGCACATTTTTCGTACCGTCTGTGGTGGTGCAATTGGGAACACAAATAGAAGTATGCAGCTCTGCTTGGTTGGGGATCCCAAACAATTGCTCTACGACTTTCCCACTTACGGAAGCGACAAGGCATCCGCTTCCTTTTTCTTGCAGCCCGAATCCTACTGGAGTCAGTTTACACGAAACCGAAAGTGGATCCAGCTATCCCTTTCCGTATCGTATCGGCTCACGCCTTGCATCGCCTCATTTTGCAATTTATTCTGGGGGACATCCATGGTTGGGGGAAACACATCGAGCCATAATCTTCCCGTGCAATACCTCATGAAATATGCCTATCCAAATACCAGTTCCCGATATGATCCCGATAAGCTGAGCACCTCCTTCCTGGCCAAAATAATCGACAAGCACGGACCAGAGAACGTTTTATTCCTGGCGCAATCCATTAAGAACGTTGATTTGCCGATTCGTGTTCACGTCAATGAATTGATGAAGATCAAGGATCGACATACTGGAATGCAGAAATACAATTTTCACATCAAAGAGAGTGTCCGGGGCTTTGAAGGAAACGTCGATTGGAAGAACAAAGTTCGTGTGTGGACTTTTTGTGGAAGCAAAGGCTGTGAGGCCGACGTCGTGGTTGTATTTGGCTTCGAAGTCTTTCGGAAGCCTCACGGGTTGAACCAGATTGGTGTAGCCTTATCGAGGGCACGAAAGCGATTGTTCGTCATCCATGGAAAAAGATATATCCAAGGCCAATGCCTTCCATTGACATATTACCCGATTCTTGGAGATACTCCATCAAGAATGGAACAGCACGTCGTTCGTTGGGGGGAAAATGATTCACAAATACTTACGCTCGACGTTCCAGACGTTGGGCGTGGAAGAAGCGATGTGACTAAATGGGCACTCGGACAACTAGCCGACAAGGGGGTGATAAAAATCGATTTCGGCGCAAGTGATAATGATACAATGCCTCAGTCTGTTGCACTTGCCCAGCAACAAGTCAAGGATATATATGTCGCGTCTGAATTTGGCTACTTTTCAGCTCTTGCCGAGACCAAATTCTTGCAATACGGAGCCTGGGAGACTATTGCAAGCATGAAAGATGGAAAAGAACGAAACAAGAGAATACCATATGAAACTAACATTCAGTTTGCGACAACTACAGAAGACGTAAGCGCTCTATATGGAGAAGCAGTAACTTATATGCTCCAGTGGGAAATGTGCAAATCCGTTCCCAATGTCGAGACTGTCGTTTCAAACGGAATTATCCGCCTTCATCCACAGTCGCAATACACCGAACAACTAATCCGGGAACATCTGCGTGATATTTCGTGCGAAGAACTTAGTGAAGAGGATAGCCACCGTTTGGAAAGGGAATTTGCCACCAAGGGGAACAACGTGAAGGGTGCATATTTGATAAACTTCATGAACGCACATTTGAGCTTAAAGAAGAAACGAGTTATTATCGAAGGAGATCAGGTTCGCGAGATAAACTTTCGCGTTAAGGTCGTCGAATGTAAAAGCGAAGATGACGACAAGCAACTGAATGAGTTTTTACCACAAATCAAAGCCATATATGAGTTGGAGATGTCATCTAAGAGACCCTTCCACTGGGTTTATCTCGCAAATGCCGTCATGGCGTTTTCTAATTATCATGAAAAGTTTCGACAGATTGGAACTGATCCAGACTCTTATGAGTCTTGGGTGAACTCCGAAGCTCTTCTCGATGGATTGGAACGACTTCGGAACACAATGMAACTCATATCCTCTTCTTCCTCCACTTCGAAATACGTCGAGAACGAAGGTAAGAGCATYGACAAAAATATTTATGGCAACAACAATATATCCAATTGTAAGGGTACTTTCGAGCGTGAGTTACACATCGATTTTGCCGAAGACGATTGGATCCATGAAARAAATAACGGGAGAATGGTTGTGGGCGTTGGTGGAATATGTGATTGGATCAATGGGGATGGAATTCGACAAAATATCAGGAGACAAAAATCAAAGGGTGATTCTCTACAYGATGTTGATTTATTGGAGATAAAGTTCGTCCATCAGCTCAGCAATATTCATCGGTTGCAGGTGTTGGTCTATTGCGCTCTCTATGTCTTGGAACTCAATAATCAGGATGAGGAGAAGAAAAATGGTGTAGAAATCCTCAATGATTGCCATGTGGATAACGACAACAAAGATCTCGAGGTGGAACAGAATGTCGAGTGTTGCAGGGGAATGTTATACAACGCTCGAACAGAAGAAATGGAGATTTGTTCGATAMAAGCATGTGATGCGATGGACTTTCTCCTCGATATTTCACAATTTAAATACAATGGGAAGGATCGGAAGCAAGAGTTATTACAATTGAAGCAGACGGCGAATAATTCAGTGGGCAGTGACGAAATGAGTATTTCATCGTCCTATAGACCAAAAAGGCCAAAGAAACGACTTGAGCGCAACTCAGGTTTAACATATTATACGGCATTTGCTGTAGACGACGATGAAGACGACGATAAAGACGACGACGACGACGTAAAAGCCAGTGCCAAAGCCAGCAATGGTAGATGTCCTCGAACCTACAGATGGAAGAAACGACCCAAACCTACTTCAGAGTCAGCGTTTCAACCAGGGACAGGAACTGACGATGATCCTATTATTCTAGATTGACACACACCAGTACCACCCAAGGGGAACTTTATGATAATTCTGTGATTATTCATATTAGTCAAAAAGTATTCAAAGTACTAGTAGTCGAAACTCAAAATTTGATCTGTCTTCACCCGCAAATGAAATTCTGTGATTGAATCAAACTGGTCAAAACAAAAGAAATTGCTCTTTGTCCATGTCCAATCCATATTGGGTGATGCCTGTTAAGCTAGATTAACTTGATTTGATAGACAGACGGACAAAAAATGAGGTCTAGATTGACTAAATCTAGTCATTTTTTATCTTTCTAACAAAATGCCTAGATTTAGGGTGGAATCCATGAATAAAATTTTGAGTGTGTTGCAGTTGAAAGACTCAACAGAAGGCCCACCAAAATTAAGACTCAACTGAACAAAATGAAGACTTGGTTAACCTAAACAACCAAAAAAGACTGCTTCTATTAAGAATAGCGCCGGATGTGGATGATGATCCTCCTGTCCCCAAGGTCTTCAAAGTGCAGTGGATCTTTCATCCTTGGAARCTGTCCCTGCAGCATTCTCATTCCCCATTCTGACATCTGTCTTAATGATGTAGCGTCTCTGTTGATGAGTATCCCCTCTAAGTATTCAGGGTCAGTCTGTGAGCTCTTGATGAGGAAATACTCTCTACTATCTTTCAAGGCAGATGCTGAATCAACAACGATCTTGGCACCACCATGACAAACATTGTTAACATTCTCCACCTTGTTACATATACCATTGTCAGAAATATAGCTATCATGATATGTGCCAGGATAGTTGAGGACTCCAATCCTGATCCTCCCATCTGGGGCAAAGACAAGAACACTACTAGTAACAAAGGTACACTCTTTCCAGGCACTGAAGTAAGTCCTTTGTTTGGACCAATCCTCAGGGGACTGGATGAGCATCTTAATTCCATCACAGGCATCTTGGCRAGCTCTGGAATCTGGTACAGTGACTGTCTCAAACAGCTGTTTTCTTCTGGGTGCATACTTATGAAAGACACTACTATTCAAACCAGCAGCATCATTCAACAACACTATTGCTTTGGCATTCTTCTGTTCATTCTTCTCAACCAAYGCAATAGTATCAGGATCAGTCAAGTCAATGGTACCATCTTCCAGTGCTATCAACTCATGGGAAACTTTACTATCTGATAAGCACAGTCTTGTAAACRGTGCAATTCCAATTTTTGCCCACACTGCTTTGGAATTTGCAATCAAGAATGCTTTGTTGTAGGCRGGCTCAAAAACAACTTGTTCATTGGATGTAGTGTGGTTCCCAAAACCAAGCAAGGGGAAATCATTTTGCCTGACATTGTCTTTTTGAGCCCTGCGGAAACAAATGAGGGTCTCGAAGTTATGACAATACATTGACTTGAACCACAGTCAATACTTCTGGTCAGTGGGCTGGGTAACATGTGTAGTATTGGGAACACTGGCATGCAAATAGAACCCTCTGGCTTTTAGCTTTGCAACAATGATTGATCCTTCTGTCCAGGACCACTGTCCACAATGATGAGAACTCTTTTGCAAGGCAGATCTGCCACATCTGGATAAAGCTTTACCATGGAATCCATGATGAATAGATGAAATTCCTTCATCCACTACTAGCACCATGAATTAACCACATCCTCTCCATGATCCTCAAGGTCGGGATTCACGTGGTGGTGTGGATTC